CTCCTGGCGGACGCGTCATCTGGAGAGTGTTTATTTCCTTTTGTCACCGTTTGAATTGATGGCTGAGCTGTGTCCAAAGTTCATGCTATGAATAAAGCCACAGCTGACATCAGATTTGCTGCACATGCATCATATTACATGAAACAGCACAATATGTTGAAACCCAGTACAGTATGTATGGCTAATATTTTGCCGGGAGGATAGAAATGTCCTCATGATGCGCCGGTCTACACCAAACTTGCTGAACACCACACTGCCAGCGCCCAGTTGCGCAAGCACTCAAACAAGCAAACAAGCAAGCAAGCCAGCAAACAACGGGGGCGGTTTGATCTGGCGCCTTAGTTGCGCTTGGCAGACTTTGATAAACCATGCCTCTGACTCTCTGTAGATATGATATGACCGTTGCCCTGGCATGCAGCAAACACTTGCATGGTCATGCGCACACAGGTTGCGCTGTCGCTCAATTCTGTGACAAGGGCCTCTACACCTTCAGCTATTTCACGTTTCTGCAAGTGTCTAGCAGCTTTCCAATTTTCCATGCCCTTCCAATCAATCATACTGGCCACAAATGCCAAAGTGGGACATGTGTCGGAAAAGAGTGGACATTACTGTAATGATCAAACATGATGACCAATGTTGATTCTGGCCTGATAGGTTGCACCGGCGTAAATTGGAATTCTGGAAAAAAAAGAGTGATGGCGCGAGTTTCAAATCAACAAGGGAACAAGAGCTGTCCCCAACATCCTGCATCGAGCGAAGATCCCAAAGCTTGACAGCACCATCCGATGCTGCTGTGTAGAAGACGTCCATCGAAGCTGCGGGGGCGGCAGCATGAGGCCTGAAACCGCAGGATGCTAGTGGTCGTTTTCGCACAGCGGCGTGAAGCTTGTAAAAGTGACTTACAGTGCAATCACACCACGCATCTGCAGTTGTTGCTGCTGCTCAACACACGCTTACTAGGTTGGAAAACCGTTTTTCGAACGGGGAGCCAATGTAAGCCTCTGTTGGCTTTCGCCAATGATTCAGTATTCCTTGAGATGTCGGGACCACGGAAGGCTCCGTGCTCTGGGGCAGCGGCTGAGCCAGCCGCAAGCAGCTGATGGGCCGTGAGTGACCACTGGCAGCGGCTAAAACCTGCGCAAGCGAAAAAACACATTTCAATGCCTTCCTTTGTCATTGAGATGCATCAAAACCATGGGCAATCAAATCCGGTTGTAGCCAAACCAAATGGCATTTTTTTCCAATGCAGCAAGTCAACCTGATGCGAGGTGGAATCAGCAGTATTACAGGGCAAACCAAATAAGAAAACATAACTAAACTATCCATGCCCAGAAAAATAATCCGGTCAAACCTCAGGCAGTATTGGACACCAACGCAAATTCAGTGACATTTGCCCCATTACGTGAACTCCTGCCTGCTGTTCGCAGGTGGCATCTGCGCTGTGGGACAGGGCTAGAACCGCAAACTTCGGATTCCCTCTGAAGTGACTCTGAAGTGTTCGAGCAAAGGGGCTCTGTTTCTCCGGAAGGTGGCATATTACATTATAAATGAATGGCATGCATCCAAAACATTCAGGATTTTGACACGAATGATGTTTTTTTTTGCGTTGCGGCTACATTATCGACAATTTTGAACTTTCATCCAAAACATGTTTTGCAATGCTCATTCCACCAATGCGAATTCTTCTCCTCCACAATATGACATCAAGCCTTCGCGCTGCCAGAGACCTTTAGCAAAGCGCCGGCGCCTTCTCAGCGGCCACATCCCAAACGTAAACGCGCTTGCTCGAGGAGGCTACCTGGGTTCTCAGTTTTCAATGAGGTCAACACAAATTGGAACTTTCACTCAGCGGATGTTGCCTTAAGCTAAAAACCCCTCGTATGTATATTTGAAAGGAAATTTATGGTTAACCAACAATTCTTGGGTTACCCCTTTTTCAGAAATGCTGTTTTCGATTCAACTGATGCATTCTCTGAAAGAGGCCGATTCTTTCTGGAGCCCCCGACCTGCTCCTTCGGTTCCCCGCCAAGTTTTGGTCAATGGGCCAAAAACTAACTGGTCGTTGGTTTTGAAATTTGTGCCTTTTTTCAAACGTAGAACATGTCACTAATTGCAATGTCACAATGTATACTGAGGCACCGGGCCAAGACCGTGCCGGAGAGCACTGCCTTGAACACGTCAAAGAAACATGTCCAATCGCGTGACAGAAACAACCCTCTAAACCACGTTACTGACATACATCACAATTTGTCACAACTGGACATGTCATTTTGTTGGTTAGATTCTTGCATGCAATTGCAGCTGGGCCCCAGGGCATTATTGGCAGCCAGTGCCACCAGGTTTTGCCCCGCACTGGGTTCTTTCGGCAGGGTCAAAAGACCGCAGCACTTGTAAGAACCCAACCTGACAAGGGACAACCACGCAAATTGTGTGTCTAATCCGTGATGATGGTATGAACTCAGAAACACAATGCGTGTCTGGGCCATAGCAACGAACCAAATGTCGAGGACAACCCGGCGTTGGCAAGAAGGCAAGGTCAAACCGCAATCATTGTTGTTCAAGCGTGTTGGGAACGACAGCAAATGGCGAATAACAACCTCAACAGCAACAGCAACAGCAGCAACAACAGCAACAACTAATTATTTGGATTTCAAGGCAAACAAAGTTCATGGATTTGTTGTCCGCCCTGCCCCCCCCCCCATTTGTAACTTCATTACCTTCAGTACCTATTGTCAAGCCTTTGGAGCCGCTTGATGTCATCTGATGTGTCCTGCGTCACAGCGAAGGCAGTTAGGCTGGACATGTTGTTTGCAACAATTAGCATTGCATGGTTTGGCATGCCACCGCGAGCACCACAACTTGCGCACCAAGGCCCAAAACAAAACTTCACCCGCGCTGGATCATTTTGTAAAACCCCATCCTGCACGTGCAACTGGAAACGGTAAACTGCCAGACGCGAGCTGGTGGCAAGTGCGACAGCACCATCCAAGCACAGGAACTGTGCATCCTGCGACGGTACTGCGACGGTGAGAAGCAACGCTAGCTGAACTGTCAGGCAGTTGGGGCATATCACTACACACCAAATGAAATGCAGCTTTGCCCATGAAACCCAACTGGCTTGCCTGCACCTGCTCCAAAAGCGGATTGTCCCCAGATGCCTGCGACAAAGGCGCACTCTCCCTTTTTGTTTTGCTTTCGAGTGAGATTCTTGCCTGTGAGCGGCCACCATACCGTAGCCGGTCGAAGCGAATGAGCTCGGTGCCAGCATAGGGCCTCGCAAATTCACTTGCTCCTGAAGAAGTCAAAATGGTGCAGCAGCAAAGATCAACGTGTACATGTTTAAATGGGCAAATGCTCGAAATATCTCGAAATGAGTTGTCCTGCATCCAAATCAAGCTGCTTATGCCTGCCAACGCCTATTAAAGCACCCATCGGCAAATGCTGAAGCAACGGCCCTGCGAGCGCCCAAAGCCGCGCAGTTTTGTCATCACCTTGGGCTTGTGGCAATCCAAGATGTAGAAGGGGCGCGGCGTGCAATTGCTTGTCGCCGTGGACCAGATTGCCAATAGACATCAGCCACATGTCAATGTCTTGTCTTGGGCAGCGCGGCCTCAACATTGTCACAGTCTCCATTTTGTGCTGCATGGCATGCGAGCATGCTGCTTCTTGAGCGAGGCGAGCAGCTATGAGCCATGATTGTTTTGGTATTGTAGCCTCTAGGACTCAGAGCAGCACTCGCGGTCAAAAGCAGTGGACCTCCGCCTCCACCCGTGGAGTGCGATTCTGTGTAGGATGGACCTTGGCTCGGCGGGTTGCTCCTGCTTCCTGCCTACAAGACAGGATTGGCCAAGGTCAATGTTTGGATGTTGCCCACTTCCCTTGACCATTTGCTTCATACCTGCTTCCTTGCGCGCATGGAGTTCTGAGTGGAAAGCACATAGACACAATGTCGCCCTGATGTCCCGCGAGGCCTAAGCAAAGCTTCACGCTTCACAACTTCCTTGCAACAGAACCACATATTCATTAATTCTGCGCACATTGAAGGCTCTGGCTCAGGCTGCGCAGATGTGTGGGTCAAAATTAAGCACTCAAAATGGAACCCTGGCAAATGGAAACAAGGATCAAAACATGCGGTCCCCTGGACAGTGCAATTTTGACCCATACGTTATTCCGCGTTTGGAAATGACAAGTCCTCTGAGGCAGCGGTCGGAAACGCAAGCAAGATAAACAAGTTGCAGCTGTAAGTAAACTTATCAACTCATCAGGCGCGAGGCCAAGCGGCCGCGATCCATGGCTACTCCCTGCGGAGCATTTTGGGATGCGATGCGAACGCGATCCAGCTTTTTTTGCAGAATAGCGACTCAAACTCCACCCCCCGCCCTCGCGCCACCGAATTGCACCAGTGACATGTCAGTCAAAGTGCCAAACAGTACCCAACAACACCAACAGCGCAAGTGCTCCACCGAATCTTACCACCCCTATTTTTGCAACAGGACAAGCTAGAATGTGAGAACTGCGGAGTAGAAGCGGGCCGAAAAAGGAAGGTGTAGATTCATTGCAAGCGCAGCACTTTCAGGGTGGCACAGCAGGCGCAGCACTTTTGTATGGAAGCGTCAGAGCTGGAATAGAAGAGGGCCGGAAACGTGGCCCTATGGTTGAATGCGGCTATATAGAGACAGAGAGATAGAGAGATAGAGGGATATAGAGATAGATAGAGAGATAGAGAGATAGAATAGAGAGATGGAGAGATGGAGAGATGAAGAGATAGAGGGACAGAGTGATAAAGATGGAGAAATGGAGAGATAGAGGGATAGAGGCGTACAGGGGCAGAGAGATAGCGAGATCGAAAGGCAAAGAGCCGCAGAGGTAGAGAGAAATTGAAAGATAGGAGACAAACAGATAGAGAGATGGAGACACAAAGAGGGAGAGAGCGAGAGAGAGAGAGAGAAACAGACAGACAGAAAGAGAAAGAGCGAGAGACAAAGAGAGAGGGAGAGCGAGAGATAGAGAGAAAGAAAGACTGAAAGAAGGAAATAAGGAGAGACAATAACGTACACTAAGCCATGAAAGAAAGAAAGCAAGACATAGATAAACTACAAAATTCAATCAATAAACATATAAATATGACTCAATGATAAAGTAATTAAAGGAAGAAACAAAAGACAATAAATGACCAAAGAAAGAACAACCGACAGAAATCAAATCAATACAGAAAGAACTAAAGTTCAAGCTATAGTCGCCCCCTAGTTTTGAACTGTTTTGAAAGCTTCCAACCTCCGGCTGTGCCGGACTTTACTGGTACAAATACGTGCTCTCAAGATTGCTGTCTGATCTAAACTAGAAAAAGGCGGGAATGCAAAGAACCGTTTTGCAGGCGAAGGCGTGGATAAGTCTGCGCTTATGAGAAAGAAAAACCACATGCGCCACTCAGCCCTGCCAACACTTCACCAAATCAGAACATGACGAATGGAACAAGAATCAATAGCAAACTGGCAATGGCTAAGGTTCCAACAGCCGAATTCTTGACACCCTACCGCCCGAAAACCAAATGCTCATTGCAACGCTTGTTTAGGATATGGACCGTCGCCACCTGGGCCAGCACACACAAACCAGCGGTCAACAAATTTCCAACTAGCACCAATCCATGAATCATGCAATGGAAGTAGAAGCTTTTCTAAGCCAAGACTGAATCACTACTAATAAGTACTAGTCGATTGCACACCAAATCCGAACCATGACCACTTGATGGCAATAGAGAGTCTGCCCCCAATCGTTCTACGGTTTCACTCCCATCTCAAATTGTTTGGGTGGGGTGCTCTTCGCCAATCATTCCCCCACCATGTACACACACACAACTACTCCAAGCGGCCAACTTTTTGTGCCCCACAAGGCTTCATACCTTTCTCCAGCTCAAGAACCACTGAAACATACTGAAATGTCGTACGAATCGCCTGGAGGCCGACTGCGATTCAGCGGCATGCGGTAGGCAGAAACCTGGCAGGCAGTCATGAGAACGCCCTCTTCTCTTACAAATTCATGGGTGCTGGCATGTCCCTTGAAATCATTTGGAGCAATCAAGCAAACCACACTCTTGTGCCCACAGGCTCAGTAGAGACGAGATGCAACGCACAACCAAAGGAGACATGCTCACCTTGCAACATGTCGTGATGGCGATAGATTTGACTAACGCAGCAACTCTGGATTGTCGTACAATTAATCTCTCCGCACAAGTCTGTTTGAGTCAAACACCACTTTCTTGTGGCACATGCCCGTGTGATCAACTTCATCAAATCTCCCGGCACCACGTTGAGCACGACTGCGCTAAACACTTTTTTCAGACATGACATGGAGTCTTCAAAAGGCACTGGAACAACAGGCGCTTCCCCGTTCCATCGCAATAGCAAATGGCTGACTCACTCAACAAAGAAATCAAAGCTTGCAAAGAGTTCCGGGTGGCAGCTATGATTGCAAGCTAGCTTCGCCAGCGGCAAACAATGAGCGCTAAGTGAAGACGTCCATCAAAGAAATCGTTCCAGCCGATCCTCGTCGCTGCTGCCAAATTGAGTATGACACGCTGGCAATACATAACAAAAACATCCTGGCATCGCCCCTTGGGGGCAAAAAGCTGCCTCGGCAGGCCTTTAAATGACATAAGGGCAACATCGGGCATTTCACCATTGCACCCTTCATGGTGGCATGGGTATTGAAAAGTGCTCTGGAGAAAACACAACCCCGCAACTGGCTGCCTTGTAGTTTTGACTGCAAGTCAGAACACGGTGTGCTCAAATCGGCCGCACTTACGCTTGGTTCATCTTGGATCTTTTGGGTGTTTTGTGGTCGGGTCTCGCCAAGCGTGAGATTGACCTTGCAGTGCCCACATCTTTTGTCTCTGCTATCGGGCGGCCCTCATATTCCTTGCACGCAGAAACATTGCACCTCAGATTGAGCTCATTTTGCAGCTGCAAGAAAGGCTGTACGCGTTTTGCGGTCACTGAGACCTCTCGCAACCGCTCCACTGCTCTCTTGATTCAAATTGGCATTGCATCGTGGGGACTTGAAAGTGCAAATTGGCAGTACCGTGGGATCCAAAATGCCATGGCCAAGGGTCTCGTTCCAACCGCCTTGAACTTTGACATCCGGCGCAGGTGGCTGGCCTCCTGACAGCTTCGGACATGCGTTGCCTCTATCCCGCTGTGCATGCCGGCCTCCTCATTGCGAGCAGCTGTACTCCTGCTGCGCATGCTGCTCGAGAACAGTTCAAATTGTGCGTTTCTGCATCACGGCTATCACGAGGCAATCACATGACAAACACACCCAACTCAAGCACGGCTATTCAATCAGCCAATAGCGGTCCTCAAGCCAGCAAAGTCCAGTTTGAATAGAGTCCCAATCATGACGATGAACCTGCAGCTCGAGTAGCTCGAGTTTCCAGAGTTGCTGAGGCATTCCATCTTTTGATGAAGCTCTTTTCAGTTGGGGCACCTGCGAGCATTTAGCAACAAACCAACATACCGTTGACAAAAGCTGGCACCTGCAGAATACGTCTGGCAAAATCAAATACATGATGCAAAGTCGTCCATAATCATGGAACTACGTGGACAAAACAGCAATCAACGTGGAACTGCGTGAGCAAACAAGGAGAGCATTCACTATCACAGACTGATCTACAAGCGGCAACTTTTACAAACGTGGAATCTGCACTGACTCAATGGTCAATAAGCCCGAACAGGTCATTCCCCACAGTCTCGATAGGTTCCCTGTTGGCTGGCTGATCTTGATGTTTCTTTGGCTGCCTCAGAAGGTGCCATGTTCAAACTATGGCTGGCATGAACCGACGATTATCAATAACAATAACAATGATAAAGCGATGAGTGTAATAAAACAAAAAGGCGACTAATAATGAAGAGAAAGGACAAGGAAATAATAACATGTCAAATAAACATCGTGTAGACATCATGATATATATATATATACATATTCATAAAAAAAAAGCTTGGAAATCATATCACGGCAAATGCTAATCCTGGAATGATTCTTTGTCAAGGATGCTAAGTTAATAATTGGTGGAGTGAGGTGAGTGAATGCATGACATCTGAGTATGTTTGATGTCGTGCTTCAGCAGTAAGGGCGCCCCTCGGTTTCAACACTAACATGGAAACTCCAAGGAGGTTACTTTGCAAATGCTCACAGGCCGCTTCCTGAGGTTCTTGACGCTTCATGTGTTGTGGCTGCCCTGAACATGCACAATGAGCCATGAGGCTTTGGAAACGGCAGATGCAGAAACGGCGAGATGACGGAGGAGACAGCGTGCTCCTTGAACATCCTCAGCCAGGTATGGCCGCGAAGCTACAACTCCCAAAACACAAAGTGCGCCCAGATTGGTGTAATCAAGAAAAGGCTTAGGGATGGCCAGCGGCCGCAGGGTGCATTCTGCTTTGTCCATGCCGCTTCGCAATGTCAGCTTGAGGCAAGGTGCTGTTCAAGCTCTGCGTTCCTCTCCACCGTCAGCGTTGCACCCATGATCTGCACACCCCGGACCAAAGCAAAGTAGGTAAAGTCCTTCTTGTTGCCTGTGCCAAGCTTAACTTCCGCTTCACAATGTGCAGCTGACGCCCAGTCGCGGCAACCGATGCCACAGCCTCAAAAAACCCCTGCGCAAAACACGACTCCAATAAGCGCAGCTCTTTCGAATGAGGGTAAATGAGGGTAGGCTAGCACTACAGCGAGCGGTTAGAAGGCCTTGAGTGTCCTCTGCAATGAGCTGCCTGTAGAATGCCTGGGTCAAGCAGGCACTGCAGATTTGTGACGCGGATGTTGGTGGCAGATGCACCATTGCGCACGCAAAACCACAAACATAAACACGTACACACAAACACAAGCAAACGAACGTGCAAAAACACGAGAACTGGATACACACACAAACACGCCAAAAAAAAGCAAGCACACAAAGAGAAACAGAAAGAGAGACGCAGAAAGAAAGAACGACGAAACAAAAGGAAGACACAAACAACGGTGCATGTTGTGTGCTTGGTCCGCGCCTTTTGTGCTCTGAGCAAAAGGATGTTATTCACACACACACACACACACGCCGAATCCCTGATACCAACACGGGATGAGCAAACAGCTCCATTTATCAGACTTCGCCTGCTTCACGATGATAGAAAGGGAAAATCAGAAAACAAGCGCGAGCGTCACCTTCCGCCTATACGCCGCGCTCTCGTCATCTACACCGGCCTGAGAGGTGACTTGCCGGTCTGTTTTCTGAAGCTTGTCATGGAATGCCTTTGCCAAACGCAGCGCCGCATCGTGCAGCAGCGTGCGTTCGGCGCCATGGAAAGCCGGGTTGTGCCCTGACAGGCGCCTAGCAGCACTGCCCTGTTCCAACGGGAAACGAGGAAAAGCCCGCCAGGCCCTCCCTCTCAAATCTTTGCAGCAGCGCACCAGAAAGGCTTGGTCTGCATCCGGCTGGCTGGGCCCAAGCTGCTATCAGTCTGGCACTGTGCTGTTCTGCAGAAGCCAGCAGGGTTGCAGCGCCTTGTGCGCCAAGACTCGGAGGGGCTTTCTGCGCAGGGCGAAATGCAGGCGCATCTTCAATGCACCCCACTACACCGAAACTAGTTAACCGTCTTCCGGGCAACGCAACATCAGCCATGCGACTCTAACATGGCAATGTTCGCGCTGCTGCCACAGCTGGTGCTTCAAACCAATCTGCAGAAAGTGATGCCCAAACTGCACCAAGGATTTATTTGGGGCACATGGTTGCTCAAGCATTGGCTGAGAGCAAGCGTGCTGCTCGAGAATCCAAATTGCTGGAGCTGCTAGAGACTCAGAAACAAAGGTTGCACGCTGGTCATTGGGAGTGGGCGGGTAGTTCCCCGCACTCTCTGAAATGTGAGAGTTCCATGCCAGTCAGGGCTGTGCCGTTCGCATCTGCGATGCGCATAGCCGCAGGCCACGCACGCGTGCAGTCGCCCATGCTTGCACTTGAGGTTGCACTTGCCGTCATTCCACAGCCGGCAAAGCGCCTTGTTTGTGGATGCTTTGTTAACCTGTGAAGACCGAGCCGCTTGTTTCTCCGCTTAGCTTCAGGCTCTGTGTCGGCGACCCCGTATAATGCCCCGCTGTGCGGGGCTTGGGCCCGTGCCCCAAGCGAACTTAAAGAATGACAAACAATGCACATCATTTCACTCCTGCACCTGCCAAACTGAATGGACATTGACAAACAACACCAGGAGGAACAGAAAAGAACGGAACAGAACAGAACAGAACGAACGAAAGAAATAACGAAAGAAAGACAAACAGACAGAAAGACAGAAAAACAATGAGAAAGAAAAGCAGACATGAAAGAAAGAAAGAAAGAAAGAAAGAAAGAAAGAAAGGAAGAAAGAAAGCATACAGAAAACACAAAAGCAAACAAAGGAAGAAAGACAGAAAGAAAGAAGGAACGAAAGACAGAGGCAATAAAACACGTACCAACATATTTTAGTGCCATGCAGCTTTACAGGAGGCTTCTGAGGAGTTTTCTACGGAGCCTTGTACAATGAGCCTAAGGAGTGTTTATAGCGCCCTGCTTCCTCGCACTTGCAGTGAGGCAGCATCAGCTTGGATATGAGCTGCAATTGGGAACCCACTGTTCACAGTGTGCGGTCACTCTTTGGCCAAATCTGCAGCCTTTTGGCGCAATGTCTGCGAAGATGAAAGCGCGGCACCAGGGATCACAAAATTTCAACAGACTTCAAGACAACCAAAATAAGCAAAGCCTCAGACAAAGGGTCATAGACTCAACTCCTACATTTGCCAAGGCAAATGTCGGACTTGGGGCCAGGACCTTTTGTCTGGGCTTTGATTTGTTTCTAGTTGTTTAAACGTTTTCTCGAGTATTTTGCTTTTTTCGCTCTATGCGTGCCCAAAAAGTTGCTTTGTTCCCCTTACGAAAAAAGCGGTTTTTGACGTGTAAATTACCACCATTTAGGGCATTGGCCTCTCAATGGAAATGGTATCACGGCATCACATGAACTTAACATGGCTCAGGCAGCACCACGCGAAGAAACAACCACGCAAGCAACGTTGTTCGGTGCGCTAAATTAAGTGAAATACGATTCGATGTGAACTGGGCTGTGCAGATTTCCTGCCGCGCGGCACGGAAGCAGTCCAACTCTTCCTGCGGTATGCCGGAGATGTCGGCCGCACGGAGCTCCTTGGAGCGTGCGTCCATGTCCTTCTTGTCTACAAACCTGGCAGTTCCAAAAGCAACAAGCGAAATATGGCCCGTTTCTAAAAAGCCAAGCTGGCTGGGATTGATGCTAAGCTTAGGGGGCGCATGTGAGGCACCGCACGCGACCCATCAAAGGAGCAATGCTGGCAGTGCTGGACTGTTGCCCTTTTGCAAAGGAAACAGTTGAAAACACAGAATCAGAATCGGTTTTCTAGACAAACAAGTCCAACTCCAAAGGTCGGCTGGCCTCCTGGCAGAATGCATGCACTCCTCCAGTGACATCGCTTCCGTTCTATCTTTGCCGTTGAAGGCCGTGGCTTCCAAATCCACCTGCCGGCAGAGAAGGAAAGCCATTGATTTGCTTGCAAACGGCCAAACAGGCTTAAAGGCCGGCGCAAGCTCCCACAATGGTGCATGAACCGTGATTCTTATGCCGACCAATGGCCAATGGGAGTCAGTTTGGCAAACAGGTGCAGCTGCAATATGGCGTCAGCATATGCCTCAGAGATTGTAATTGACACCAAAAAATCAAACACAAATTTTCAACAGCATGGAGCAGCACAGTACATCCTTTACAAGCCTCGTCTGAGCGCCCCTTAGGAACGATGCCCAGCTGGTGCACGATGTACAGCAGCTCTTCGGACCGAACGCCTGGCAACAAATGGGCAATCACTGACCGAGGCTGGGTGGGTACATCAAGGAAAGCTGACTTGCGAGAAATGCTCCAGGCGAGTCTAACACGCAGCTTCTGTCCCGTAGTAGCCGCAAAGAGCCTTTTCACAAACCCCAGGGCCTCCCCAATACCCCGTCAACTGCTTCCCCACACAGCACGTGTCAAATGCAAAATGCACAAGGCACTTGACATCAGCGGAGGCAGAGGGGGGTTGCAGCAAAGATTGTGTTTGTCCATGCAGTCCTGCCTCGCCCCGTCTTCGCCACAAAATGGTCGTAAAGCTGTTGAAACCTCGACACCTGGAGGCCGGCGCCGAAAGAGGCGTGCCATGCTCAAAACCTGCCTGCTCCAACGTGAACCCGGCTCTTTCCCAAGCTCGCCTGAGCCAGGAATGGTGATGCATACCCTTGCTCAACTTGGGATCTTTCATTTATTTTGCACTTGCGCATTGAAGATCCACGAGCACTTTGCCATGAAATTCGAGCTATTGAGCGTGCTGATTGTTCGCTTTGCAGCTGCGCAACTGCTTCTCCAGCATCCTGCACCGCTGTGCCAGGACGAAAAGATCCGTCTCATGCTCCAGAGTGATGAATTCTGCCCAAACAGGGAATCCTTGGTGCCATCCGAGGCAAATCACACAAGCATGCATTTCCCAACCCGGAATCTTGTGCCCTGTTTCATTCTCTATATACATATGTGCATATTTCTACATATGTATGTATATAAACACATATTATGTATGCGTCCGTAAATGTATGTAGCCGCACACACGTCTCCATGTAGTAAAAAAAGAGTAAATTGTATTGGTCTAGCCCCCCAAACCCTTCCCCCACCCCGCCCCGCGCGTGGAAGGCGGGTGGGAGGGGCTTCCTTGCGTTTGGTTTGGTCGTTGGTTTCCTCACCGGAGGCAATTTAGAAGGAATGAAAGCCCACCAAGTCGGAAGAACAGCAAAGTGGGCAATAAGCACATGGGGCCTTGGACATGCAGCCACGGATACCTTGAGCCTGCTTCGCAAACAGCAGGCTCCCCGAGAGAAACTGACCACTCAGTGCTGCCACCGGTCTCAGCAGGCGAAACAGCAATTCAAGACTGGTCCCAAGGAAAGACCCTGCTTCGCGAGAAAAACTTGGAAACTGCGCGCCTTCACAGTGTTGAGGGTCTATGGTAAAACTGCACAAAGCACAAAATGCACATGAAAACACGATGAATTAGAATGCCTTGCGAACAAAATATCGCATCAAACATGAGCAACAGGTAGGAATTTCAAATTCCGTGGTACGGACGCGAGTTGAGACAAAAGACAAGAGAAGAATAAGCACGCGGGAGAAAAATACGCACGCGCCTGGCGGGGAATACACATGTCCAAAACGTGCAGCCTTCTGTGGGCTTCATCGTTGCGACGCCTGGCCTCTCGGAGCGACACAGCAGTCCAGGGGGGCGAGGATGCCGCGAGTGTGGGATCAGACAAGTTGTTTGGCCCGCCAAACGTGCAAATTTAGCCGAACACTGTGACCAAGGCATTCAATCCGCCCTGAATGAATTTCTTGATCAGCCACGATTGATATGAGGTAGACACTACGCATGTCCGCAAAGGTATCACCCTTTGATAGTTGCGCAAGCCGAAAAAAAAAAAGAAGAAAAAAAAGGAAAAAACAAAAAAAAAACGGTTGTTTAAGGTCAACCCTCCGAAAGTCCGCAGAGGGTTCAACTTTTGATGGGTTCAACTTTTGTTGGTCGCGCAAGCTGCACGACGCAAACAACAAAACAGAGTTGTTCGAGGTCGACCGCCTGAAAGTCCGCAGAGGGTTGCGCGAGCAAAGTTGCAATTTCGAGTTTTTGAGGGTCCGACCGTCCGACCGCCTAAAGTGCACAGAGTTTGCGGGGGCTGCGGGGGGGGAATGCCATGGGGAGGGCGGGGGGGGGAGGAAGGCGGAGGACAAAACCAAAGTATACATATACATATATATATATATATATACATATATACATATATACATATATACATATATATAATATATATATATATTGTATAAAATACCCGTCTGTACTGTATCTCGGGGTTGGCTCTGCATCCTAGCCGCTAAAATGCATGTGCCAACCCCAATTCTTTTTATAAAATGCAGAGCCAACCTCGGGATCTTTTTTCGTTTGAATTGATTAAATGCAACATACAACCTCCACAAGAAAAATACCGAAGGTCAGTCACCGCATTTTAGACAAATTATTTAAATTGATAAAATGCAAAGTGCCAACTTCAGAGGTTGGAACAATTCAGGATGCAGAATCCGTATATCCCGTATCGATCCGTATTGCGTCCGCCGTTTTTTCCGGGGATCCAGGAACCGCTGCGTCGGCCAGAGACATCTAAAATGCACGAGCACAGGTAGCTCTGCAAAACTGGCCGCAATTTTGCGGTGTGCCACGTCATCGCACGACCTCAGTGGAAACATGTGGAAGAATCAGCATCGCAAAACAGATTTAAAAAAAAAACAAACCAAAAACATGCAAAGCCACTCGAGCTCTCAACTTTTCTCCACTCGAGCTTGCAAATCTTGCATAGCCATGAGGCTGAGAAGATCATCTCAACCTCAAACATGCTCGTGCACAACTGCTACAAACTGTTATGCACACATCCATGCTCGGAAATCTCGGAAAGGAAAAACATAGCATATGTATGCCAGGAGCTCCTGTACACTTCTGACTGTGATTCATTCTGCAATGTCTGCATCTGCATGAGAATTCCTCATGGCGCGCCATCCTTCCAGCAATCTCTGCCTTTCTCCGGCTGAAAGCCGCTGCTCAATCGCGTATTGCACCAATTCAGGAAATTGTTCAATCTCGACTGCCAAATCGGGCTCTCCACCTTCATGGCTAGAAGAAGGTGTCGCATCGGACAAAGTCTCACTGGTCAAGGCGTTGATGCCTTCGTCAGCTAGCTGTCTCAGCATTGTGTCGTAAGCGTCTTCGCTCTCATCCGACCGAATCTCTGGTTCCGTCTGCGCCTCCGCATCCTTCTTTGGCTTTGGCTTCCGCAGCATGCAAAGCAAAATTGCAACTCCAATGCATCCCACCATGTTGGAAGTAATGAACCACCACACATTGTCTCGCACATCTGCAAATATTGCAAATGAAACAGTCTGGTCGCATCCTTGAAGAAGCATGCTGCACAATGCTGCAATTGCCTTCTGCGCTGCTCCAATCCTTCTCGCGCGCAAACCTTCATCGCTGCCATCTTGATGCTCCGACTTCTTCTGCTGAAGCTTCTGCAGTTCCTGCGTCAGCTCTGCCCCGACCAATGCCGCCAGAATCCGCAAAATCCTCAAACGTCTTTCTCCATGCGCTTTCGTGCCTGCATCTGCAACCATGCGTGATGCTGTGGGCTTGTTCGTGTGGGGCAGCTGGACCTTACCTAGCGCTCGCTCGAGCTTGTAAATGGCCATGCTCAAACATGCAGGATAGCAACCAACATATGAAATGCACTTCTCACAGCTAGGCCCATGTCTGCAATTTAGCCAACAAGAAATGTTAGCGATGCAAACTGAGGGACAGACCTGTGATGAGACAGTACCAGCTTGTCGTTCTGGGAGATCTGGGAGCCTCAATGCAAAATAACACAAGCAACTTCAAGGCGGGGGGCAAGCTGACGACACGGACATAACGAGACGCTGGGAGCCTGGCTGGTGATGAGACCCGCCTAGAAACATTCGTGAAATTGTCTACGAGAAATCTAGATTGCACGTGCCAACATGCTGTAGTCAGACCTGCGCTGCAGCACGCACCGTGACAAGCCTACTTCCAATGAATCCACCAGCCTGTTGTGGTGGGTGCGTGGGCCGAGCAGTGAGACGAACGTGACAAGACTCTGGGGTCCTGGCAACTGGTAAAATCGAGAAGGATAAGCGATGAACACTGCGGGACGGACCTGATGAGACAGCGCCAGCTTGTCGTTCTGGGAGAATTGGAGGCCTCAATGCAACAAACAACCCGGAAAGCGGGGGGCGAAGTTGACGACACGGACATGGAGCCAGACCCGCCACCGCCTTGCAGGCGTGTGCCTGCCTTCGTCGCACTACCTGCATGGAAGCTTTTATTGTCTCATCATCAGGGGTCACAACAACCTCTTGAAAGGTTGGTACTGCATTCTATCAAGAACGCAACTGCAGAATCTCCAGGAGCGAGCTTCCTGGAACAGCCAGCTAAAATCTGCTAAAATACACCGCTTGCTGAGAAGGCCGCTCGCAAATCATCTCCACGCCTTTCCACTGAGCTCTTCTTGCTCCCAGTTTGTGCAACTTGCAAAATGATGCAAAATGGCACTCACTGTGGGCCTGACCTGGCAAACAACTAGAGCGCACGCCACGTCACCCACGCCACCAGCCTGAGACATCCAGGTCCAGGCTGGGACGCCTCAAGCAAAAGACACAGCATGCAGCTGATAGAATGCAGAACCAAACCTGTTTGACTGCCACATGCATTTCAGCTCCCGGCCTTGTCAGAACAAATGCAAGAGCAGGATTCGCTGGTTTTGACCTGATTGCCAGGCAGACTGCACGTGCCAACATGTTGTAGTCAGAATTCCAGTGAAACTTGAGGCCCGGTGATGAGACAGGCCACCAAGTTGTCGTTGCGGGCGCGCCTGCCGTCATCATGGAAACTCAATGCAAATTCACACGGGCAACCCTGAACAGATCTGAACATTCAGGTCAAGCTGCGATGCAAACGTGGCGCCGGTTTTTGTGTCTCATCGTGAGGGGTGGCCCAGAACAACCTCTTGAAATGTTGGTACTGCATTTTATCAAGACTACGACTGCAGAATCTCCGGGCCTTTTGGCGAGCGTGTTGGAGCTCCAGCTTCCTGGAACATGCAGCCAAAATGCACCAACCGCTTGCTGAGAAGGGCGCTCGCAAATCAGCTCCACGCCTTTCCACTAAGATCTTCTTGCTCCCAGTTTGTGCAACTCGCACAATGGCACTCACTGTGGGCCTGACCTGGCAAACAACTAGAGCGCACGCCGTCACCCACGCCACCAGCCTGAGACATCCAGGTCCAGGCTGGGACGCCTCAAGCAAAGACACAGCATGCAGCTGATAGAATGCAGAACCAAATCTGTTTGACTGCCACATGCATTTCAGCTCACTGTGGGCCTGACCTGGAATGAGACAGGCCACCAGCGTGTCGTTCTGGCGCGTCATCACAGAACCTGAGCCGGAGAAGCTGGACGTACGCTGACGTGAATAATTGCCACCTGCAAACTTTCAGACCTGCATCCTAGCCAAACTTGCTGCGTGTTTTTTTCCCGGAAGCATTGCGAAGGGTTCTTCTTCTAAAAGCGGCTGCCAACTTCACCTGCCAACTTCTCATGCCAACTTGTCGAGAGTTACTTCACCTGCCAACTTCTCATGCCAACTTGTCGAGAGTTACTTCACCTGCCAACTTCTCATGCCAACTTGTCGAGAGTTACTTCACCTGCCAACTTCTCATGCCAACTTGTCGAGAGTTACTTCACCTGCCAACTTCTCATGCCAACTTGTCGAGAGTTACTTCACCTGCCAACTTCTCATGCCAACTTGTCGAGAGTTACTTCGCCTGCCAACTTCTCATGCCTACTTC